GAAGACAAGTTCACTGGAGCTTTGTTTAAAGGATTAAAAAAGCCTTTACTTTTAATGAATGCACACTTTTCTTTTATTAAACCTTAAGTTAACTCTTGTTCAAAACTCACTGACTCTGGTTAGGGTTTCTGTAAGCCTCGTGTAATATGACAACAGGTGGTGCTAAGAGGGTGATTTGAAGGTAATCCTGACACTGTAGAGGCTTTGTCACAGAAACAGTGTGATTCTCGTGGGCTACGAGTGTCACAGCAGAGGATTACTAATGAGAGGGATCGGAGTTGAGGACCTTTCACTGCACTGTACTGACTGTAAAAAGAACTGAATCCTATAATCACAAAAATGCCAAACTTTATTTGTATCAGTAATGTACAAATCAAGTAATAAAAGAAAAACAAATTCAATTATTCAAATGTAAGCAAATCGCTCAAACACCAATCAATTGTTTTTTTCATTTTTACAATTTTTTTTAATTACTGTAAAATGTTCAACTTCAAAATGTTCTACCCGTCAACTTGTGCAACTTGTTATTATGACTAACTTGTTATGTGACTAAGATTTTACTGCATACTTAAAGTAGGGAATCGTACCGACAAACAAAAACCCATAAACAACTTATGGACTACTCTGTACTCTGCAGTGAGCTGAGTTAAAGTTAAAGTTCAATTTGTTTATTGATAAGTGTTGTTGGTATAATCAGGGTTTTCACATATATCCTCATAATGAAGTTAATTAGTATACTAATGAAAGAGTAAGTAACTGCAGTAGCTGCAATCTCAAGTCTAATAATCATTGACTAAAAGGACTTCACTTTATATAAACTATTTTGATAATTCACGATAGTTTATTTCAAAATAATTATAATCTTTTGTTGAAAGTTGTTGATCGAAAAAAAAGTCTGATCGTGAAAATAATCTGTAGTTGCGTGTCTACAATACATCAAAACCTTTATGGCAAATGTCTTGCTTTAAAAACACATTCTCTCTGAAGCAGTGTACCATGGCAGCTAATACGACTATAAAAGCTCTTGGTTTAACACAGACAAAAATGCAATTCCATCATTGCATCATATTTCTCGTGGATACTGTCTTTCGTTGTAGCAGTTAAATCCACCTAGATATCAAAGAGCTCAGCTTCTTTTTCTTTCCAAAAAGTGAAACTTCGGTCAATATATCGGATTATTTCCTCATTGCTGAACTCTTTCAGCTCATAGATGACTTTAATTGACTCTCCGTTGGGTTCATCTGGAGGAGGTTTATCTACAGGAGGTTCCTCTGCGACTTTAACAATAACTGGAGGAACATTCTTCACAGGATCTACTCCTGAACCTTTGGGTGAGTCCTGTGTCGTCTCAGCTTTTGCTGATATGTTCGTGTGCTGTACAGCTGCAGTTGTTGAACTCTGCTCATTCTGCTGCTCTGAACTGTTGCCATTGACAACAGCAGTGTCATTTGTAATGCCATTGCCAGGTACCCTCTCCTGGGCTGGGGGGAGCGATGATGGTGTGGGAACCTCTGGCTGCGTGGCCGGTGGTGAAGCTGGTGCAGAGGCGGTGGACACTGGAGCTGAGGGAGCAGGATGGGAAGGTGGCGGAGGTGGTGGAGGATGTGAAGGTGGAGGAGGGAGTGAGTCTTCTATTGGCATCACTGGCATATCAGGAGACATGCCATGAAGAGAAGCTGTCATCACACCACCACCTTCATCGCAGTCTCCAAAATACTTCAGCTTTATGTCTTCAAAACTGTCTCCCCAGTCTCGCTTTCCTCTCTCAATTTCCTCCATGACTTCCTTGTGAAATTGCCTTATGACCTCCCACTTGTGGCTGCCAAGACGGTCAAACATCTCGTAGCACAAGAGATGCCGGAATTTGCGTTCATTGCGAGACATACTCATTTCCAGCAACTGGAAGTAGCCAAGCATAAAAAGATCAAGAGTCAGACTTTCGTAGCTCACAGGTGACCCATTGATGTGCGGCAGGAAGTGTTCCGGCCAGTAGATCATTTGGGCACGACTCAGCCTACGGATCTGACGTGTGGGCACTTGACTCATGATCGTCCTCCAGTGGCCGATCAAATTTCCTACAACCTGCTTTGACTTCATGAAAAGGATGAGTTTATCATCTTCACTGTGTATCTCCTCACTAAGCTGTGCACTGAAGTGGTCGTAGTCAGCAACTCCAACATCTAGGTGGTTTCCCTTCCTACCTGCATATTTAGTCCGATAAGACTCAGAGATTGTGTACTTCCTCCAGTGTTCAAGGAACAGGAAAACAATTCTCTCTTTCCTCATTTCAATGCATTCTTGGACATAACTAACATCTGTCTGCACCTCCAGGCTTCTAGTGAGTTGGTCATTGTTTAAAACTGGGTCTGAAGAAAGTACCTGATTAAACTGTTCAATATTAGGTGGAGCCATGATCTCATGTGGTTCATATGTCAGAGGTGCAGAAGATGCAGTGATAGGTGGTTCGTCAACAAGCACTGAGTGGGATTCATTCACTGGACTTAAGTCTCCATTTGTGGTGGATTTTGGGTCTGTAACTAAGGAACAAGGAACAGCTTCTGTGGTGGCTTCCTGAGGTTCTCTGGTCTCACTTACCATCGGCAGTGACCTCTTACGTTTGTATACCTTATTTGGTTTTTCTGCAGACTCTGACTGGCTCTGAATTTCATAGTTGGCTTTGAGGTTCTTCACTGAAACTCCACACTGCTTTATCTCCATCTCCACATCCTCTCTTGTTGAGAATGACTGAGAACGCACAACAGGTCCGGTGCTAGTAGATGGAACTGGATCAGCCTGACCTGGGCTGACATTCTTTATTTCTTGCGGAGAATATCCCGGACATACAAGATCCAAGATATCGATCTCTTTGCCTCCAAGTGTTGCTAGCAGAATAGCCATGCTCTTCAGCAGTGTAGAAATCTTACTGCACCAGGCAGGAAGATCTTCAGCTTGACCGTGAACCTGCTTTGGATTGACTGAGAAGTGTCCTTGACTGAGGGCAGCAGACACCGGTAGAAGCTGGTGCAGCTCACGCTCCAATGCTTCAAGCTCCTTTTCCACTTCTGAGACCTTATGCATGACCTGCAGGTTCTCAATTTGCTTCTCAATACGGTTTAGGTCAGCCTCGGTCATCAGTTCCCCAAATGGGCCCAAAATGGCATTGTGGATGTGGGAGTAGTGCCATTCCTGCGGCTGATAGTGCCCACTTGTCGCAAACTAAATCAGAGGCCAAAGGAGACCAGGAGACAAGAAAAAGGAAGAATGGGGAGGAGGTTCCTTCAGCTCCAAGAGTCTTGTGTGAATACACACTTCAGTGCAAGTCCATCCTGACACACAGTCTTTACATGGATTAAGTGGTGCAATGGCACTGCCTTGCCAAAACCAACAGAACAGGGAACACTGCATGTAGTTTTTATACTAAGAGGCAAATTTTAATTTCAGCGATCATAATAACTGTATTTGTCTTGTTGTACAACACGTCTAAATATGTATTTCGTACTTCTATATATGACAGTGGTCTTTAACCCTTTTTAATAGTAACACCTCCCCATTAATAATCTTTCAAAGTTCAGTTTTTCAACTGTTTTTTACAATGTTACACTGCCAAGTTCATGATGGAAACCGTCAGTGCCATTGACATTGGCGCCAGTTCAAATACAGGCACCAATGTTTTATTCTGACAGGGTTGAAATAAGTCCAGTAATAGGTCACAGTCTGCCTAAAGATACATTAATAAATAGAACATTATCATAAGAACATTCTCTGTACATTATTTTGACGATTAAGGATTACTTGTCAATAAAGTGCGCAGTACTGGTATGTGTACTGGTTGACCTGTAGTGTGAATGGGCCCGGCATCACACCACTGAATCAGCATGTAACAACTTGAAGCCACAAAAGTCCATCAAACAGCAGCCGACACAATGAATCTGTCAGTCAAGTGTGAAAGTACTGTGATGGAAACTGTAGCCAAGTATTCACATCACTGCACTCCACGCAAAATTGTATTTTTTAGTAGAGTGTAAAATCATGCAGACAGTCAAATCAAAAATATTAGGTAAAAATATATACGCCTGTCACTCCACTTCCAAAAATTAAAGAATATGAGCATTAGAGTATAGAGAATGCTTGTTTCCGCAAGTATGGTCAAGATGACAAGTCAGACATAAATGGGAATCAGGTTCATTCTCAGTGACACACATTATTATTCCAAACCCTGTCAATCATAGCTTATGTAGAAGTGAATGTGAAATAGGCCCAATCTGAACCTTTTCTTTATGTTTCTGTTTGCTCAGTACGACTGTTCAGCTTGTTTGCTAACAGCAAAACAACCAGGTGTTCACTTTCATATTTTAGCCATCATTTCCACATCATTTCAGTCATTTTTATTTTCCCTTTTTCTTTGTAGATTTATCATTTAGCTAACTGTGTTTTAGCCACTGTAATGTTGTACTATTGGCTAATTTGTGGTTATGTGTGAGCAGCAGCAAAACATGAACTTACGTTTAGCTAATTCCAGAAATGTTCTGGGTAGGTTTTGGCTATTTTTGCAAAAATGTCACACCATGAACTATTTTGGTCACTAGTCATCATGACTAGTTAGTTTAGATCTAGACTAGACTAATTAGGATTTTTTTGCTGTCATGTTTAGTTTAGTTTTTAGAAACTTTTGGCAAACGTTTGTGTGGCTGTTAAACGGCCTTCAACAAATCTTACTATAAAAGATAATTGTGTTATGGAAGTTTCATGCTTGGATATTACACAACACCATATTCAAATTCACATGCAAACACACATCAGCTATCCCCCCTGTGGCAGTATTTACACGGAAAGCAGTCATCATATTTTAAAATCGAAAATACACTTCCACAGATGGGGATGCCACAAAGACATGACACAAAGTAAATAAATCAATAAAACTGGCTTCATCATTCTTACCTTGCGTCTGTGCTCTTCCTCCTCCTGCATCTTCACCTGCAGCTTTCGAACCATCACCTGCCTCTTCCACTCCGGTATGGCTTTCCCCTGTTCATCATGTGTGGGCACCAGTGCCTCCACATCTGCAACGCTCATCTTTCGTCCAGAATCGACCCGCATTCTGCCGCCAACACCAGCACTACCACCACTGTTACCATTGACTACAGAGTTAGTCTGCAGCGGCTCGTGGCTCACTGAGGGTGATGTAGTTCTGGCAGGTCCAGAGGCAGTGGGACTGGACTTAGGGGTTGGAGTGCTGGGTGGGGATGTTACGGGTGGAGTGGATGACGGTTTGGCAGGTGGGCTGGGTGTGCGGGTCCCTGGTGGTGTTGTAGTACTTGTAGTACCCTGTTGGGCGGGAAAGACCGTGTTGATCAGGAATTAAGATAAATGATGTCTACTTTTGGAGCATTAAACATATTATTAGGTAGATCATCATACCAGATGGTGCACATGTTGTCACAAATCATTAACAATCTGGGACTCACGTGGCACCATTAACCTACCTCTGGGCCTGTGGGCCACATCTCAGGCAATAAACTACAGCTTGTGTCCCAATGGTCTGTAACCATTTGTATGTAGACTGCAGGGTATAGGCCACTAACTAACAGTAACAGCCCACATTTACATGAGCCAGTCATAAATATATAAATATAAATATATGAGCCAAATCATTGAGAGCCGAATTGAGAAAAATTAAAGAATACTGCATGAATACAATTTAAAATATTTGTATACTTTAATACACATAGGGTTGTCCAGGTAATGTTTAACTAAAACATCACCTGCAATATAATATTTTTGGGGCTATACTGTTTGATGATGTTTGTTCAAACTTTAACCAATGATGGTTCACCTTTGACTAAATAGTGCAGAATAAAAGTTCAACCAATGGTGAGCTACTGGGTACCATTTTTATTCTTCCTTTGCAATACTTTGACATCTGCGTAATATCCTGAGTACTGAGTACCCTTGTATCTGAGTATCCATTATTTAGAAGAAACAATGCAGTACGATACGAATGTATGACAACTGGTTGCACAATAACAACAGTTCTAAACATTACGACGTAGAGACATAGTGATCACTTTCGTCTTAGTGACAGTTGTGTGAAGCTACAGTGTGTGTGACCAGTGTTGCAGGGAGGCTCTGCACCTACATTGTTGCCCGTGGATCCACTGGTGGAATAGACGGTGGTGTATCCTTTAGTGTGCGGCGTGGGTTTGAGGCTCTTTCCTGCTTTGATCTCTGCCAGCAGCTCCGAGTTGTCACCAGTGGGGGACATCATGTTGAAAGATTTTGCGCCTGCACACAAAAGCAGCAGCCGAAAAGTGAAACCAGGTAGACCGAAACAAGGAATTGGGGAGGAAAGGCTGCCAGGAACACAATAAAGAAAAGGGAGGGGTGGAGGGAAGAGAGGGGTTGGGTGGCACTTATGTGTTAAATATTTCATCAGATTAGGAGGGCAACAATGCTGAGCTGGAGCAGGCTGGACAGTCATGGGAGGTCAATAGAGTTTACCCACACTGCCTCTTGTGGATGTCTTCATTTCTCTTAAATTTTCTTTATTTGTTTTTTTTTTATTCTAAATGTTAAATGAGCATATCTCCAACCTGTGAGAAATTAAAGCCACTCACAGCCTGTAGTGCAAACACAACTCCACTGCAGGAAGTGTAACTGCATGTTTATAAGCTCTCCTGAGCTTTCACCACTTTAAAAAGTAGGTTGATGTCGAAGAATTTACACGTTCACTTGCCATGGATTCTAATCTGCTTATAGTTAACAACAAGGCGACTCAGGACAGATTTCTACCTCTATTTTTAAATCTCCCACAAAGGAACATTGTTTTCATAGGAAAAGAGACTACATTTTTTCACTGTCAATTGTACCACGGAATGCTTTTATCAAAAACAATACACAAACCAACTGTTACCATGTTACACTTCAGTTGTACAACACACATTCTAATAGACTCCAAAGCTAACTATGCCACAATCTCACCTGTTTGATTGAGTGTAACCTTCCACTGATCTGATGATTTTCCTCAGTAACTCATGAATCCCTCATTTTCTGTAAGTCTCCTTGAAAGATCTTCCCAGTTAAGACGACCAGTGCAGGGTTTAGCTGAACATAGAGTTCATTTTCTCTTCCTCTCTGTCTTGGTGAGTGAAGGGCAGCCCTCTGCTAAAGACCCATCATCACAGTTGGTGGAAATCTAAAGGAATCACTGCTAACTGGAAGTGACAGCGGGCCAATGGAAAGCCGGGAATTATCACATGCGTGCATGCGTGGTTGCACTTGATCAGCTGTGTGTGCGTGCACACACACATTCACACACACAGGGATCCTCAACTTGTTCTCTCAACTATGGCACAGTTCTGCCACACAATAAACTTCCCCCACAAATGACTTGTAAATGCTTTATAACAGCAGAACAACAACTGTCATTAACATGATTATAGAAAAAATATAAAGTGCAACCAACAATGTTTACATACAGCACAAACTGTACATAAAAGTACACATTATGTACAAGTAATGTTTACGAAGACACTTAACGTCTTTAATATTAGAGCAGAAACTGTATAAACCTAAGTCTTAGAAGAAGTTTCCTGCCTGCACTGTACAAAGTGCACACTATAACTGTATCTCATAAAATGTGTAAATAACTGCTACTACACTGTCACACAATCACTTGTGAATACACAAAACAAGCATCAGTTAGATTCTTCCATTTAAAGATCCTACCTCCATGCAGTGAGCTCCTGCAGAGAGACCACTGATCTCCACAGTCACAGATGACTAATGGACTGCAAATGTATTCTGGATTCAACCCATTTCATTTATGGGTCTGAGAACATGTTCATATTTGTCTTTTGTCAGGTCATTCTGATATATGGCAGTGAAACTCTGTAAAGGCTCAGGGTGTGGAGTCAGCTGACCTGGCACAGAGGAGGGTTGGATACTGCTTTGTCAGTTTTGTATTTACGAGCACTGCACCATAAAGGAAATGGTTTCACCTACAGTAGCACTAACACTGCATCTGTTAACATCAGATGTGCAGAGCAGCCACTTCCTTGTACTCAAGTACTTTTATTCCCCCTCTCTAAATCAACCACCTGCTGTGTCTCTAATGGCCCAATGACTATCTGAGCTTTAACCTCATCCTCTAAAATGCTTGTGTTTTTCCAAGATTACACCCTCCTCCCTGTGCATTTATTGCCCCTTTAATGCTTTAGAACAATTCAGATAATTAGGGAGCGTTTACAGCGCGTACAGACCAGGATGTGTCCTGTTAAAGACAATCACTACGACCTGATCAATACAGAACAAGAGCGAGATTGAAAGCATTGACAATGTTTAACAGCCTTTTCACTCAGCCACCTGTTTTGTTGCTGTTGTCTTGGTGAAGCTTCATTTCGATTGATCAAACACCTCAGTGGTTTTTAATTTTACAACCATTTAACAGCTGGTTTATGGCCTGATGAACGACGCAGCACTAATCATGTCATTAGTGACCCTGCACTGGTCTGCCACTGTTGTTACTGCCGTCTAGCTGATCAGCAGCAGGCGGGGCACAAACAGAGGAGACAGTGTGATATTTGGTCAACAAAGTGTGCTACATTAGACTGTGAAAAGGCCCCTAAATGGAGGTTTAACAGCATGACCGCTGCTAGTGTTTATGACTGAACTGAAAAGCCTCTAATCTGACGACATGAAAACATCTCGTGTAATCAGGGAGATACTGAAACGACACTGCAGAACACTGTTGATACGGAGGAAAAGAAATATGAAACTGATCACATCTGACATAGTTGTGATGGTGTAGTTGTTCTGTGGAGGTGATCATGATATTGTCCACATGTTGACTCAAGGGCAACACAGCTGCCTGCTGTAGGTGTTGATCTTTCATCTCTAGCCCATGTTTACACACTTGTATTTAATCTGAACAAAGTGATTTTTCCACTTGGAAATTTAAACACAATTCCATTGGTTGGGTTTTGTCATCGAGACACTATATAGATAGATAGTGACTACAACCTATTAAACTGGGGAACTTTGGATTACAAGAACCTTTTTAATTTGATTTGGTCGCCACAGAAAAGGACCAACAAAAACAAAGACATCAAGTCAGTTCTGCTTCCAAAACAATGAGCGTTTTGTCACGTAAACAAAAATACATTTTTTCAAATTATACTTACATACTATATTTATCTGTGCTTTTTATCTGTCCACTACATTCACATAAAGGTGCAGACTCAACATTTTTTTCTCATATTAGAATTAATTTGTGACACATTTCTAATCATCTCATATAATCTGGGCTAGCTTTCCTTTTGACTGTAACCAGACAGTTGAAGCTAACGATAGCTCTGATGTCCTCGCTCGTCGCAACATTTGCACAAACGTCAAATTCAAGCTGGAATTGGATTTTCTTTTTAACTTCTATTCAACTATTGTTCGCCTGAATATCTTGTTATGAATTCATCTCTACATCTACATCTTTTGGAGGGCAAACAGTGCATTAATGCTATCTGCAGGCTTATATGTGCTCAAAAGTATTACGGGATGCTATTCAATAACAAAAAGCCAATTTTGTTATTAATTTCAATTTATAGTGATTTTACCTCCTTCATGGATTTTTCTGGTGAGAAATGTCTAAGAATATTACAATGTTTAAGGATGTGTAATAAAAACCCCTGGTCCACAGTCAGACAACAGCAACGAGGGCAGCGGGGCACTTAAGGAAATGGATGAACACTAAACCAGTTCTCAGGGTAATCGTAACCCGGCATTATTAATTTATAAAAGGTTATTTAGGATGCTGGGGTCAGACTCAACTCATCTCCAGCAAGTAGGATAACGTATGTGCATTATACCTCGAGGAATGCATAGAGGATGTTTTATAAGCAAAGCAGGTGAGATGTTAAGAAAAGTGGAAGAAGAATGAAAGAAAAACCCGAGAGAACACTCAAAAGTTAAGGGGAACTCACTTCCTGATGAGGAAGACTGACGACGCTGGCTGTTGGAACCAGAACCAGTATTGTTCTGGTTTGTCGGTGTCTCTGGGGGTAGAGGAGGAGGAGGTGGTGGTGTTGGCGCTGAGTTGCTTGGAGGAGGAGGAGGGGGAGGAGGTGGTGGAGGAGGTGGTGGCGGGACTGATTCTTCTGTGGTGCCGTTCTCTGAGCTGTGGGCGGGGCTTCCATCGGTTGGCTCTTCCAGTAACACAGAGCCCTGGAAGACGGAAAAAGAAGATTAAATTCACACGCACAATGAACGACAATCCTTCCCGACAACTGGGTTTGGATTCACAGATGGATTGCAGGAAATTTTCTTTATTTATTCCGAGAATTTATATCTGTAGCAGGCCGGGCTTTGCTGATTTATATTTAAATACATTTTATTAGTTTTACATGAGGTGTTTCTCCTAGCAATGGTTCTTTTAAAAGTGATAATTTGCAAACAATTAAACTGCTTATGAGGACTGATTTTTTTTTAGAAAGAAAATATTGGTCTTAGAGTACCACATATATTTTGTCCTCTCTTCACCTTAAAACAGTGCTGTGCTCACAGCGCTAGCATAAAAAAAAGACAACTTAATCAGCAAAAATAAGACCAAAGGCCAAGACACACTGTACAAGAATGATTAAATTATTACATTTTTTGTTGACCCTTGTAGGAAGCCAGCCAAAATATGATTCTATTCTGCCTGGTGATTTATGAAAATATAAAGCTTTTTTTGGTTTGTTTTTTCTAGCACCTACATTCCAAAAACATTAAAACATTTCCCTCCTGCATTGGCATTCTGGCGTGAGCACCTGCTGGTCTGAGGAAGCATTTAAATTCTTGCACACAGGCTGTAAACAGTGACAGATGTGAGTGTCAGCATCACTTTCCTCCGCTTCCTGCCACCTTTAATCAACCCATAAAGAGATAACATCCTGCTCCAATAAGCACTGCTAATAATAATGTGACCTAATCTCTTGGGGAAATTTAGACGGAAACAGAATAGGCCATCTGCTGCTGCAAGTGATAGTGCCTTAACCCCCCCACACACTCTGTCCTCACCCCACATACACGCGTCTGACACACTTCCATAAGCGTGCTGCAACCCTGCTGGGGGCAAGTTAATGGGCCGTGACATTTAACACAACCCCGCCCCATCCTGGGTTCCTCTGACGCGTGCTACTCATTGTTGCCCACTTTACTTTTCATATTCCCAAAAGAGTTGGGGGAGTGGAGGGAGGGGGGCATGTCCAGATGGGCTTTGGCGGCACGTGCCGTTGGATTCTACTGATTAGCTCGTCCATCTGCTAGGGTGCCTCTGAGACAGGAGGGCCCCACTGAGGCCCCTAATTGGCTCAATGTGGATTATACTTGATATCACCAGAGCAGCCCACCCTTCTGGCTTCTGAGGGACTACAATCCTCTGGGGACAATGATCATAGTCTAATAGACTCCACTGATTCAGCAGGCTGTGATGTGTAGGCCAGATATTGACCAATAGTGGGACACACTTATCTTAGAGGGACACATGTCCCTGTCACTGGGTAGTAATTAACAGGGTGCTCTAGCAAGGCTGTTCAATAGTCACATCAGGTATAATACAATTAAAAAATAAAACTAACTAACTAGAACCACACTATTCACCAGATAATCAAAACTACAGGTAAAGGGCATAAAAATGCACTGACAATTTAATTTAATAGAGTAAAAAGAATTTACTTAATTCTAGTTATCTAGTTTAGCAGTTAATCATTTAAATGGTCAAATACAGTAAATGAGATAACGTGATAATCCGTACTAAGAGTACTTTTTACTAGATCAGAAAGCATAAATACTAAAACCTCTGTACAAAACAATGCCATTGCTTTTTTTTTAATGTAGCCAAATGCTGAAAATCATAAAATGCGAGTAAAACAAGCTAACTTGTTGGACTTCAGCCAAAATCTAAAAAAAAGTCAAAACTTTTGAACAAATAAAACATATACAAGATATATAAAATAGATTTCCTAAGAGAAATGTCCAAACCAATGAACAAAGTTTTAATCCAATTTTATACTGTTTAATCTTATCTAATCTCAAATTAGCCAAATGGATACAAATTATATTCATTATAATTTTGACAATGTATTTTGTCTTTGGCGACTTTCCACTGAATAATCATCTGGATTTTTACACAGCAGGTGGAGCCTAAGGAGGCAATGGAAATAAGGGGGTGAGGAGTGTGGGAGGGGTGTTTGCATCAAGTGGCAAAGAGAAGTTTAAAAGGGCACAAGATTATGTAACATTCTGAGCAGGATAATACACAGGCAAATAGCTCAGTCAGAGTGTAACCCAATGCCAACATGCCATCACCTGAACAGACTTCATCCTGAAAATGATCTTAGAAGGAACTGACATGTCTACACTAATCTGGATAGGCCGAATAACAGGTACATTACAATGGTATCTGCAACAATACGGATGTGAAAAGAATCACAGGGTACAGGGTCAGAATGATGAGGTTTCAACTTTCAAATATTATTGACAGGTTTACGGTTAGTGTTCCCCTTGAATGGATACAACTCTTAATTACACTTAAGGATTTTTCTAAATCAGCAAACTATTGTAGATGAAAAAGAACAAAAAATTCTTAAAACACCACCAAACATACAAGTTTTTAAAAAAAGGTCAGAAGTGTTGGTGGTAAAGTTAACTGAAAATACTGATGTTGCTAAAGGCTAACATGACAATACTGAAGGGCAATGTCCAAACTCCCAGAAAGTAGGTTCACAACAGAGCTGTACTTTCTCCTGCAAATAAATCAAATCCTTTCCTTTTACAGGGGAAATGATAGTAGACATGTCTCACCTCCTCGTTGGGCGCCATGGCTTTGTTCTCACGTAGCTCGTTTGTCTCGTTGCCCAGGGTCTTGTAGTAGTCCCCAGTACTGGGCTGCTTACTAAAGCTCCTGGACTTCCTGTTTGAATCCACACGACGCAACTTCTCGTGGCCGTCTCCAGTCGCAGGCTGTTGAGAAAATAAGGATTTTACATGTTCAGAGAAGGAAATACAAACAATAGGACTGTCAAACTCTGATCACAATGAATCACAATTGTCAATAGTCAACTTCAAATTAAGTTGTTTTTTTCTGTTTTAAATGTGCATCAGCTTCTCATTGTTGCATTAACTGACTGTACTTTTTTTATAAAAAGAAATGATCTTATACTGCACTCAACTCAAAAACCCATTCAACTCAGAGTACTCAGCTGTATTTATACCACACCCTTCAAATAGTAGGAAGAAAAACTACAGGCTTTTTATTTATAAAGATTGCACTAAATGCCTGTGAATAATGACTATTAAGTTAGAGACTAACCACATGACCCGGTGGCCCTTTCTTAGATAGATAGATAGATAGATGAATACTTTATTGATTAAGGGATTTTTTACAGTAACAAACATTTCTCAACCCACTTTAGAACACACTTATTCCCCAGATTATCTGTCTTGTGGGACCAAAGCTGATTAATAAGAATAAAGGAACAATGCTATCATTCAGTTCAAGTAAAAAAAAAATGTTTTAGTTGAAAAACAGTCCACTTGCAGAATTAAGTCCGAGGAAAAAGAAAGCCTTCTGTCCAATGAGTGGGGTCAAAGGTCATTCACTTATCTTTAATTGAGCACTCTCACTTTCAGCTCTGACACCTATCTGAACCCGGGGCACTGAGAGCAGAATATTCTATTGTATGTGGGTCAAAGTGAACAGGGATCAGAGTAACTGTCCAGTCTATCTGCTCTTTCTGATCAGAGCTTAACTTCATATAATCTATCCATCTTATTTAACTTAATATTAAATAAGATTTTACTTTCCACAAAAATAATTGTATAAATAGATTAAAATTTTCACAAATGTTGGAAAAGAGAGAACAATAAAGATAATTAAAAAGTTCAAAGTGGACAAATATTTTTGCAAATTGGAGTCAGTACTACAAGATTTTGCTTTTTTGCCATTCAAATTTGCCTTCACTTCATTTCCATGTTGAGTCTAGTGTAGACACTAGTGTCCAGTGTGTCACGACATCAAGGGCCTCAGGCAGCAGGGAGATGTTTGATGTTAATGCAAGAGGAAATAATTGGTATCCCCTGGCCCCTGACCTCCTCTCTCCTGTGGTGTCATGTTCTATAGTAACCTCTCATAAATGGGTTTACGTTTTGTTGACTCATGTCTGCTGTCAGGGAAATCTCCAAGAGCTGTGATGGGGTGGGAGGGTAATGTGAGCAGGGTGAGCTGCAGATGGTTTTGTCATCCTCCCAGGAGGTGGGCTGACAATGGCAAAATGTACAAAAGCTTATATCTGCACCCCCATGAAGAAATGCACATACACACACATGCATGTGCACAAACACACCTGAGTACACACAGACTGTGGACCTCTCATCATATGGATCTGTCTGTCAGCAGTAGGTCATTGTGATATACATGTGTATTTACACTGCGTTTTGTAAGCAGCATGAAAGGACATTAAGCCTGGTTCCCGTTCACTGTGGTTCAATTACATTTAAATGCGGTTGCGGCAAGTCTTATATTTGAAAAAGACACAGACAGGTGGGTTGTTCTGTGTGCTTCCAAAGCATTGAAAAAGAAAGACAAACTTAAGCAAACATTTTCAACTCCATAAACAATTTCAACATCTTAATTGATAGAACCTGGAAATTAGCCAGACAGTTGCACACACACACACAAAAATTGTGCGGGTTCCTAAATGTGCAGCACAGCTTCTGATATCTCTTAGTAGTGACTAAGGCAGTCAACCTTAAAAACAATTCCTCTTAACACCTTACCTCAGCCTTTAAAGTCCACCTCCAGTCTGTCAAGCTGCTGCAAATTCAGCCAAGCACTCTGAGTAGCGGTCACCAGATCCACAGCTTCGCCACCTCTCCACTCAGTGCTACACCTGTCACACTACCTGCCCTCTCACTTTACCCACAGGCCTCATCAATAGCCTATCAGATCTGTTCACAGCGCTGACAATGATGTCACCACTAACCCGGAGAATAACCACTCCTCAGCCCAGCACCTCTTATGCAAAACACCAAATCCCTGGTGCTGCCTTCAACACGACTGACCGCACATAAATCTCCAGCTTTCGGATTTTTCTGAATATTCCAGCACTCAATGCTTCAAATTAGCAGCAAAAATGTGCTGAGTGTAGCTGTTAATGGTAGCACGACAATAGGATTTTTTTTATACGGCTAAAGGCCCGTCACGTGACGTTTTTGACAGTCAAATAAATAAACAAAAGTGACAAGACAAGAAGCGAACACACCAAACTCTTTTTTATCTGGTTTCCTAAACTGGTGTTAACGTGTGATTTGGGCTGTGATGTGTCTCCAGGATGTGAGTCTGGTCCATCTGATCTACTGTTTACCTGGATGAAGTTACCGTTTCCTGTTACTATGGCACCACAGGTAGATTGTTGATCCCAATGTAAATGCTGCACACTGGTCTTAAATGCACACCTTTGTGTATGTGCGTGCCTGTGTGTGCATGTGTAAATGTAAATTGTTAATGAGGGCGCGCCCTGGGTGAGTCACCTGGGTACAGAGGAGAGAGTGAAGGGGGAGGCACTAATTAAGGTCTGTCACACACTGCGGCACACAGCTCACCCTGGTGTTGGTGACTGTTGTTGGTGACGGAAAATGTTTTTTTTTTTCTTCTTCTACCTCTACAATAAACACAGTGGAATAAACCTTTTATAAACGTGCACCTGTGAAGTATTTGAGAGAATTTTAGATTATTAGAAATTATAATCAGCTATTTTTATGGTACTTAGCTACAGTATTTCAAGTTTTTATAATCATTTTTCATAAAATCTTTTTCTGCACATGTTTAAAAAGAAAATGACCTCTTTTTACTATATTTAGTTATCTTCATTAGTTTTGGAGTTCCCAGCAGAAGGCTTTTAAACAGAAAAAAATCAACACTAAAGCATTTCACACAAAATACAAAATTAAATCATTTCAAAATAAAGTGTGGAAAACCATAACTATTTTCAATATTAGTACCTTTGTAGAACAATTTTTTTTGTCCTACAAACGTATCCGCTACTCACTGAAAAGAAACACTGGTTTTGGGGCAGACACAAGGTTTTACCATCATCACAGTGACAGACATGGTTACGGGCAGAAAATAAATCCTTAATCAGGTGAAAGTGATCCTGTGGACTGGTAATCTTGGTCACAATCTTCAACATCTTGAGAATTAAATTAAGATTACATCCTCACCACCGGTCTTAAAGATGTTTGCAGCACTGACTTTGTGGCCCATGTCGGTTTTAATTTTACTTTATAATGTCAGCTTGACAAAGACACTTGTGAGTGATCTGTGGCCAGATTAATGACTGTAATTAAAATTAAACCCATCACAACAACCCTGTTGTGTCAGTCTGTGGTCATAATGAGTGCCATCATTAGACACGTTTGCCTTGTTAACACAATAATATCATTGTGTGCACACTCTAACAGAGGGACATCACAGCTTATTACACACAGGGGGAAATGGCAGCTAGGCTTGAGATGATCATTATTATCATCTCAAAGTAAGATATTAACATTTTAAAAAATAAAAACTGAGTTTCTATCTCAAAGTGTTGAGCAAACAAAAACAATGACAGTAATGTCTTTGGGAAGTTGTCCTGTGCATAAGACATGTTTGAAGTCTAGCTTGACCTTTTCATTTGCAAATATCTTAGGAGCAACAGTTTACAAGGAAGAAAAAAACCTTTGCAAAGCTTTAATGCAAAATTAATCACCAACAGTGTTTTTGTTGAATCTCATGACTCTCTCACCTCTATGTCAGTTTTGCTCTCCACGTGCCTCAGGTTGCTTTTCACCTTCAGAAACTCGGCTGACGATGTTGATGACGATGGATCCTGAGGAGGCTGTGGTGCAGGGAAGATCGGAGGTGGAGGGGGCTCTGGAGGACATGACGGTGGAGGTGGGGGTGGATAGGTTGGTGGTGGAGGGAGATTGGGGTGCATATCATCATTTTTTGGGGGCACATCGGAGCTGATGTCTGGGTTAAGCATATCCATGTACGCCTGCATGTCAGAAATGGCCGACTCTGATGCACCTGTGACACAGCACAAGTGAGCATGCTCTAATTAAGGGTGTGGTCATTATAAGAAGAAAGTAGATGAACAAATAAAAACAAAAATATGTAACTAGCCTGAAGGAAGTACAAGAACAAAATTTAGATGTTTTTGTCTTAGCTTTAAGATAATGCTATGCTTCTAAATAACGCCACTAGGGTGCAGCACCAGTATATGGAAGTAAAGGAAAGTGAACTACTTGTCATTGTGACATAGCATACCACCTCACACAACCAAATATGACCCATCACCAAAGTGAACAGTGGGCAGCTTTAAGTGCCCCGGGAACAGTGTGTGGGGATGAGGTGCTCATGTTAAGAGCACCTCAGTGGTAACTTGGCAGCTGGTGGACTCCAACCTGAAGGTTTCTGGACCTAAGTCCCCTTCCTTAACCACTAAGCCACCTCTGCTCCTTATAGCAAGCATCTCCCATCTGCACCAACTGTAAACAACTGCTGCATTTGTTTACACTTTAGGTCAATGTACCAACACCTGCAGAGGAATTTGTGGCTGAAAATTTGTAAATGTTAGACCTTCCCTTTCACTATATTTTCATGGCCTTGAAATGAACTAGAGAAGTAGTTTAATAATTTACACAGATGTACATACAGTAGGTCTTTGGTCAACCATGTTTTTGATTTTTCACACGTTCTCAGTAAAACAATAGAAAAGGCACTGATATAAAGTTGTACTACCTGTATTTGCCACTGTGTTCAGTTTAGCAGGTGGTCCTTGAGAGGTTTTTAAGCTGCTCCTCTTCTCTCCAGTGCTGGACTGACTGGAGTTGGCTGAGTCGTAGTTGGATAAGGAACTGGTCGGTGAACTGATGTCAAAGTGTGTCACCTGGCTCACAGGGGGCATGGTGGTGTTCGGGGAGGAGAGGCCAGAGTCTGGCTGCTTGTACTCCAGGTCAGCAGATGGGTCTCGGGACAGAACCCGGTGCTCAACACTCTGTTAGAGGACACACAGAAACAGAACTTCTGCAATTAGCTGTAGACTTTTAGCTACACATGTTTGAAATTAGTAACTTTCAGCTTACATTTTCATGCCTATTTTAGTCTTTTTACTGATGTATAGTGGAGTATATGTATAGCAGTTTTGCTATATTATTGCTATCCACACACATTTCCACAATACACAAAAATAACAAACCCATTGACAAAATTGTTTGGGTTTTAATAAAGATTTTGGCTATTTGAATTGAATCTTCTTTCACAGGAAGAGTTGCTGACCCACGTTTAAAATGTCATTTACTGTATGTAAAGTCTTCACACAGGTTGGAATCCTTCATTACTGTCAATATGAATCATCTGTTTCATAATGTTCCCATTCTTTCACTTGTCTGTCCCTGGTGATTTACATGAGAAGAACAGCATTGACTTTTAATTACTGCTCACTAATGAAACGTCTCACAGCTCAGGGGATTGACTGCTTTTCCCACAATGCACTTCTTAGTTGTTACAGTTGTCCTTAGGGGTCAGTCAGAAGGGGAGGAATCCTGCACACTGGAGAGAGTTCACTGTGGTGAAGTTATTATTCCTTCAACAGAAAAAATCCTAACTTCATCACAGTGAACTACGAAGGTCAGTGTAAGATACATGTTGCTTAAGCATAAATATAAGCATGTGTAAATAAAAAAAATATATAAATCATACAAATATACATATACAATATACACCATATACAAATATTAATTGTATGCAGAATACATTTATTTCTTTAATTTCTTGTCCAAATAATAATCTGAAGTTGGAGCTGCCATTGACAGAACATACACCAGGCCAGAGGTTCACATGCTGCACTTCCTCTTCCTTGACAAGAACAAATGTTGTTATCTTGTTTTCATGAGTTTCAGTTCAGCTCTCATGGGTCCAATTAGCAAACGTCCCCGAGATTGATGAGAACTTAACCATCGTTTGGCGACAATTATCGTGACAAACATCGTTATCCTTAAAGGCACAGTTTCCCAACTGCCCCGGTTCATGATCTTTAGACTGAGTCTTTGTTTATGACACCCTGTTACAGCTTTAGTGTTAATTAGGTAAAGTTTAACAAAAGTACCCAGGTTGTACTGGGATATCTTTAGAACTGTGAAGAACATAATAAGTCAATTTTTTTAATGTTGTTATGTTATTTGATTAAAAATCTAGTCCATAGGTGACTTACCAGGCCAACGTTTTACAGAATCCTTTTAACTGAATTTAATATAAAATTACTTAAAAATCTGTGGTGCTGTGTCTCTCACCATGTTCTCCACAGTCCGCAGGTACTTGGCACACTGAGAGTGGCCGTTGTATTCTGCCAGGTCAGCCGCTGAGAATCCATCCTGGTCTTTAATACCAAGGTCAACACCGTTTACCACAAGGATCTGACAACACTGGAGAGAAATGTAAAAGTGTGTCACCATTAAAATTCATGCATAGTTACTCCAAACTCAGACCTGAGCTAAAAACAAATGGATGACCGGACAGAGATGGACAAAACTCAATGATAATCAAAGTATTTGGTTAAAGTAGTGGTGAAATAACATACAGTAACTGCAGAGCTTTTATTCAAAATGAGTGGTCATGTGGGAAACCCAGTATGGAAATAGCAATAGGGAGAGTTTTAATATTATGAAGGGAAAAAATGTGTTATTAGTATTGTCATTTAGAAAGTTATTATGTGTCTCTGGGATTATTCTAAAAAATGACTGTGTTTTTTGTGGACTACCATTGGGAAGAAAGATAAAAAATCCTACATATAAAAATGTTTGACACCCATGGTGATAATATCTAGGAGAATGTTTTTCAAATTCTCCATTATCAATTATCTTGAGTTTAGCTTTTGCTTTTTTGGACTAACCTATCTGTTTTTTTGATACATTTACTTATTTTGGACTTTCAATCTACTTTAAATTAAAATCATAGAGATTGTTTTTTAAATTCCAGACTCGTCAAAACTGATAACAGTGACAGACCTCCAATTCTCCATTCTCTGCTGCGTCATGAAGCGGCGTCCCTCCCCAGTTGTCTATCACTATCTCTCCGCCGTGCAGCAGCAGCCAGCTCAGCACTTTTGCATGACCACGACTGGCAGCGAAGTGCATGGCTGTGGCTCCATCACCATCTTTGTCAGTCAGACGGATCTCTGTGAAACTGATCTGAAGTTTCAGACAATCAGAAATGAACATATCAATTATACAAAGTTAATTAACAAGAGTTCCACAATTAATACAAAGTCACAGTTTGGCTTTTTGGGGTTCCTGCGATCATACAGCCACTAGAATGGATCCAACTTCAACAGAAATTGAACTTTTAAATGTTAAGGTAACAGATTTGATTTGATTTTTGATTGATTTATATTTTATGCTTATCCTGCTTCCTTAAGAATACATGTTTATACTGATATTGCGTTGATAACAATTATAATAAATATTTGACATACACACGTCATAATTTATGAAAACAGCATGGACATTATAATAAGAAAATGTTTTTAAGAAGTGTCATTTTTTATGTCTGTTTAACAACTTAAATTAATCAACCGATAACTGCTTAAACATTTACTTTAGTTCATCATCATTATTATGATATATCATTATATCATTACTGCAGGTGAGTGTTTTCTACAGAAGTATAAAAAAAGAATAAAAAAATAGTCCATGCGTGTTTTTTTATATTTGTGAACTGAACTGTACCAGCCAGACGATGACTGTGTTGTGGCCCATCTGGGCAGCAGCGTGCAGCGGCGTCATCCCGTCATTGGCTCTGATGCCTGGCTCTGCTCCACAGTCCTTGACCAGGTACTGGACGACTTCTAGATGACCCTCCTGGCAGGCCAGGTAGAGTGGAGTGGCACCATTCTTAGTTTGGGAGTTGACCACGCTGAGGTGAGATACAAAGGGAAGAGTCAGAAACTCTATATTTTATAAACAATTATTTTTAACATTTTTCTGTGGCTGGAAAAATATAACTGGTTGTGGATTCAAGTTTAGGTTGTGGCATTATACCAAGTTTTAAATTATATACAGATATATGTTAATCCCCGATTCTTGAAGAATGCACACGTGTTGTTCTACAACTTGGGACTCCACGTAGACTTGATTGCCAATGACATGGACGGTTTAACACTAATTGATTAGGACTCAATTCGAAAATTAATTTAGTGACTGACACACGAGAACATACTCTATACTTATAAAGACAAGGGATCTTAGGAAGAAGAAAATCTTGGTTTGAAATGACAATCTGATACATTTAAATTAAATGCAAAATAAAAGCAAGTGAAATTCTTGCAAAACACACAAAGATAACACACTTTACTACTTATTTAAAATCACGACAGCTTAAACATAAACACACAAATTACATCTTTAAGCAGCATTTGGTCATCTTCCCTCCTTGTTCCAGATTGTTCTGGCACAGCAGGAGGTCAAGAGGTCAATAGGTGCTTCACCACCATGTCCCAGGAGGCTATGCTTTATTTGGATACTGACAAATGAGCAATGAGTCTCCTAAGAGGATTAGCTCCTCACAGACTTTGCCTGTTTGTCAGAGAGCAGACACCAATGTTTGTCAAGACAGATTAAAGGGTGATGAGGGGGGAAGAAGGAAAGAGAAAAAAATAAAAGTATCTGCTGCCACCAGAAATTGAAAACTGGGTACAGTACCAGGCACTCATTATAATGGTTGCTGTTTGTTTTGCGAATAAAAGGGACAAGACGTAATTTTTTATACATCTTCTGCTCATCATCGATGGACCGCGAAACGGTCAAACATGACCTCTGACCAATGCATCGATGAGACAAAACCAGGAAACACTATCGCCTTTTTTATTGCCATTAATATGTACCTCTGATTACTGTAGTACAAGTTTAATATACAATGCAAATATGTTTCAAACTGTCTGTCTTGGAGACAAGGGAAAGTATCAGTGTAAATACAAACACACCTTTCAAAATAGGGGGAGGGGTCTGCGATGCTGTCATCAGGAAGTGGGCAGAGAGTTCAATAATGTATGACTGTAACTAAAGTGGGATGAAGTTCCTCTGTTCACTGGGGTTCGACATGGATAAGTGAGGATTAAAGTTGTCAATAATCTTAAACACAGTCACAGAGGGTGAAACAGTAGAGTGTTGTCGGATAAACCTGACAAAATAGTACATACTGTATAATATAGTAATACAACACTTCTGTCACATATTCATTCTAACTCATAAGATGCCAACAACAACCAAATGGAACCACTTGGACTTAAAGTACCTTATCCAGTAGTTAAAATAGTACTAAGATTAGCAAAGGTTGGGATCACTGTGTCTGTTCCAAAATAGTCTGTCCTGGATTAGATTTAAACCTGACAACCTGATTTTCTACCTTTTTCTTCGACCATTGAGAATTTCTAGTGGATAACATCAGAGAAGCCACTAGATGGAGCATGGTTAGCACAGTGTGTGTGTGTGTGTGGGAGTGTGTGTGTGTGTGTGTGTGTGGGGGGGGGGTTATCTGAAGTAATTCCATTTCCAAGAATGGCATTAGAATAATTGTTCACTCTTAATAGGTATAAGCTGAGTGTGATTGGTCCAGCGAAGTTTCCAGAGTGATCCTGAACCTCCAGCACGCTTTACGATCCTCAAAAAGATTAGAAGCTGGATTGCTAATCAGCCTACTGCTCAGCAGCTGGAGCGAAAGGAACCAACAAGTCGTCATCAGAAGTCAGCATCCCACACCCCCACTGTAGCCCACATCTACCATTACTTCCATTTATATTCTGGCACTACTCTACTAAACCAAAACCCCTCAAATGACTCAAATAACTCGAAAGAACTCCACCCTTACCTACATATTTTGTAGAAGAAGATGTTTTAACAATATGCTACCACCAAAATCCTCGTTATTATGAAGAATGATGATATAACATGGTCTGCTCCTATGTGATGACCATTTGATTCCACTTTGTGGTATGTTTGGACAGCTAATGGACTTAATTATCCTAATCCAGTGGAATTATGGCCTGGTCAAAGATCTTTATCTGCACCAGCTGATTACATAACATGGCTGTAGTAGCCCAGACCTCCCACCCAGGTCCAGTCGGTCTTTTGTCTACACATGCTATCAGCACAGACACATGAGGCTGACACTCCTGAATGTGCCACCAATTTAAAAGTGGTTCGTAAATCCACTGAGTGCTATCATTTGACAAAAACACAAAGGACAATGGATACAGTAGCAACCATGTAATCCTAATATGTTTTGGCTAATGCCCAGACTTTCTGGATTGATTCAGCTATATATTTTTGTTTTTGTTTTTTATCGTCATGTAAATATCAGGCTCACTAGCAAATACCTTATCAGTCATTCACTCCAATCTTTTCTCCCCATGATCTTCAATGAAGTTTTCAAAAAACATTTTAAAGGCTTCATTGCTGAACTTGATATGTAGTTATTCTTTATTTAATGGTTGCTCTTAGTGTGGATGTTTATGACCTTCATTAGTCAGGCAGGTACTAAAGTGATGATGTAACAGAGCAGGTCATGTTATCCTAGTCAGTTTTTGTCTCTCAAGTAGAGCAAACTCAGATGTATCTAATTACCTCTTAAAAATCAAATAGAAATTTGTGGCTGGTAATAAATAAACAGCGACACAACGTTATCTCACTGTGGCAAAGTTTTGCTCTGTACAAAGCCCGGGCCAGTCACAATCCGTCCATTCAAACGGATTTGTTTCCCTCATTATCTTATCGCCAGTTGGTTCTACTGTGTGTCCATGGAGACAGTGGTAAACAGCAGCTCAGGGAGGGTGATGGTGAAGAGTGAATGGGAGGCAGCTATCAGGCCGCTACCGTGTCCCTGAGAATCATTAAATTTTCAGCAGCCATGCACCTGTCTGGGCTTCAAGCAGACAATACGGGAGGTGCAGAGCATGTTAGTGCCTGAACAAAATGTTCACACTGCCAGGGTCAGAACAATGGAACTAGGTTGTATACAATAGATACATAACATTGGTTTATGGGTGGTTCAAGCACCTTTAGGCATTTTTAGGAAACATTTTGAGATTTTCCAGCATGTGTATCATTAATTAACACATTTGGAAAATGTTATTAAGTTGACTTTAAAAAGTCATTTCAGCATTCCACCCCAGATGGGACTTGAACCCACAATCCCTGGCTTAGGAGGCCAGTGCCTTATCCATTAGGCCACTGGGGCTTGACTCTATACCTATATAATACAGAATTCAACCGCCGAAAGATAAAATGTTAATTGGATAATTACTTATTATAAGACAATAAAACAAAGGCCACATATTTTTCTTTACGTTTCGTTATTAACAAATGTTGACTACAAGTACATGTTTTATCTGTAGACAAAAAAATACAAATGACCTTGGAATTTTAATAACTGTACATGTTATGTACACAGTCAACACTGTAGAAAAAATCAATTTGTTACATGTTAGATCAGTCACTTAAATAAACATAATTTAGTTGCAGCCTTTCATGGTTGGAGATTTTGTAACACCAAAATGGCTGAAATTTCAGGTAAACAGTATTGTGGAAGTTATTCTAGATGAATTACACAATTTACAGTAGCACATGAACAGTCTGGTATATTTAAGGGAAGCTTAACCACTAAGAGTTTTTTTCCTAAATGGGATTTTAGAATGAGGTAATTAGTCTGCTCTATATGTATCAGGAACATAAGTCTCTACCTCTGAAAACAATTCATAAAATACTGACAATACCATCAGCCTATCTGCTATACTGCTATACATGATTTCTTCATCACTATGGAATTATTTTGATTTTTATATTTAATTGCTTATTTATTAGGGCTGATAAACATGACATTTTATAAACTTGATGCAGTGACAACCTGATTAAAATACAACCAGGCTGCTCTCACCTCGGGCTGTGTCCCAGTAACAGGCGCAGAGACGACAGGTCTCCCTTGGCAGCAGCATAGTGAATAGGTAGGGCCCCAGTGTCCGTGGTAGCCCCGGGGTCCACCTCACCACTCTTGAGCAGCCACTCAGTGATCTCGTGGTGACTGAAGCGGGACGCCAGATGGAGAACAGTGGCACCAGAGCTGTCTCTGTCCTGAGAGACAAACACAGTACAACAAGGATGAGAAATATAGCAGCATATCGTTATAGTAAAGCTTAAATTCTGGTTCTGACCTTCATGTTTCAAGGAGTCAGAATTGAAGTTTAAAGTTATAAAGTTTTTATTTGACACAATAAAAAATGAGCGGGCACAGATGCTATAGATGAAGCCACCAGGAAATGATTGTATATAGAGAAGAAGATCATGAAGAATGTTGGTGTTAAGAGTTGATAAATCAAGAGCGGGTGAAAGAGAGTGATCAGGAATTCA